TTGTTGTTGTTGTTGTTGTGTTTTGTGTTTCCTTTCACCACGTTCTTTTGGCGTGTAATATAGTCAAGCAAGATTATAACACGACAATGACACAAGTGTTCAGCTCATAAACCGTTAAAGTTAAAATGCGCGTAAACTAGAAAAGGGATTGCTCACTTACAGTTCATGTCCAAAGCTATTTATAGTCTGCACTCTCTCCATTTCTGTTTCAAAGCAAAATATCATTTTCGCTGCAACTGAAATAACGGGTTTTTGTGGAAATTCAGCCCTCTCTCATATTTTTTCGAAGCCATCCTTGTTTATTTCCTCAACATTGCTACAGTAGTTGAACAATGTTTTGGAAAAGGATTTCAATAATGTTCATCTTTTCATATCTCTTTCCTTCTCTCAATGTTGAATCTTTTCACTTTTTCATTTGGATAACATTGAAACAGAAAATATGGAATTTAAAATGTTTGGGGTTACTCTATGACATTTGCTGAGGCAAAACACGCCAAAGCTTTATCTATTTCGTTTTCTGCAAGTATTTGAATCACAATATAGAAAATAACGACATTGGTTTGTTAATCATTTAATTTCATATTCAGAATTATGGCTTTGATTCCTTCAAACGCTTCCTTAGCTGTTGGTTCTATCAGATGGCTGGGAAGAAGGAATCCGTATTTTCCAGTGTCTCTGAGCTCCATAGAGAACGCGTATCGCACGTTCAAATGGCCATAAATGTAGTCCTTTGTTGTTCCGGACTCGAAATCTGTGAGAAACAAAACAAAAATATTACGAATTAGTCAAAAGTCAGTAATGAGTAAAACTGTTACTCTACTGCCACTGTCCCCCACCCCTTGAAAAAAAATCTAGCGAAGGGGCAAGGGTCTTAACCTTCCAGCGAAAGATATTGAGCATTTTTGTACAGTTTATTGTCCTGTACAAGTTGGTTCTAACTTCTGAATCTGTGGATCAAACCCTAGTGTGTGACCATTCTGCAGTACTTTCATGTGGTACTATTTACGTACGTTGCTGTACAAGATGGTTCTACCTTTTAAGTCTGAGGAAAAAAACCCGGTGCGTAACCATTCAAATACAAGCTACAAAACAGTACGCTCATGTGGTACCGTTTGTTATGCCCCACAAGATGGTTCTAGTCTAAAAGTGTGTGGACAATAAATCGAATGTGGTCAAGCATTAATTCTTATGGTGTTTTTTGGCTTTGAATTAAGAATAGCTAAATTTCTAACTACGGTACTCATGACAATAACGGGGTCTCTTTTTCAGCATGTTCGACGAGTGCCAAACCAAAAGCTGAAAGTAAAAAGTTAGAACATGACGACATGCTTGCAAACTGAGCCAAAGTGTAAACTCCATCAGACTATATACGT